AGTTGGCAAGGTGCCATTTGTCCAGAGAAGCTCCTACTCCCTGGGAATCAAAATATTAAGTGTCTCAACCTGAAGCAACTGGACAAAGACAGGGATTTATAAATCATTTTTACAAGGGCATCCTTCACTTTCCCTTACTTTTCTCACTAAAAGTATATTTTTGCCCCTTGTGACTCCTAATGTTCAAGGCTCAGCATCCCCTAAATATGTAGGGGTCAATCAGGTTGCCAGTAAGAGGTTCTGAAGGTGACTTGTCTCTGTCTCAGCAGCCACACCTACCTCTATCATCCAGTAAACAGGGACCTGGCAGTGGGGGCATAAGTCAATCTGCTGCCTTTAACCAAACTGGGCTAGGGGTACCATGTGTTTATGAGCACTTCTTTAAAACTCAGGAACCTGCTGAATACCAACACACCAGGCAGCAAAACCATCACAGAAAGTGACACTAAAAATATCTGCTGACTGCATGACACTAGGTGTTTTAATAGACACAAGTGACTGCCAGTAGGCACAAAGTTTCTTTTGGGGGCCATGAAAATGTTCTACAATTAGACTGTGGTGAAAGGTGCACAACTCTGTAAATATATTAATAATCATTGAATGGGTGAGTTTTATGGCATGTAAATTAAACATCAATAAAGCTTTAAAAAATATCTGTATCCTCAAGGAAGTCAGTTTTTCAGAGCAACCCAGGCAAATTTGCTATTAGATGTTCACCTCATCTCAAATGCAGATATCCTTGCAAATCAGACCTACATATCCAAAATATGGAAATTACTCACATTTCTATCTGATAATCAGCAAAGAGGACAAGAAGCCACTGGCTCCCATTTCTCCCCCAAGGGTGGAGTGCAGTGGGGGAGGCATTTCATCAGTTCCTGTAGCCTTTGTGAAATGCTGCTGAGACCTCAACCACCAACCACCAACCACCAACACAGCTGCAGGTGTCAATTACACCCCAAATCACTACACCTGCTTTTTATTCTCTGTCTCTCCCCCTGGGGGGATAAAACACCTAGAAAAAATTTTAAGTGACAAATAGAAAGCTTGGAATTCATAAGAAAAGGCTGATCAAATAACATTCATCGGTGTTTTTTTCTTTATAAACCGCAATGCAGCTCCATGATTTTACACACGGTCAAAGGCAGGCAGTTCAATGAGAAGTCTCTGATTTGATCTACAAAGGAGAGGAGTAAACTCATAGAGAAGCTTGGAATGTCTTTTTAAAACCATCATAAGATCCAGAACAACTACCTAAGAGTAGGGTGGATTATTCCGGTATGCCTGGGACCATTCTGGTTGTGACGCCTGTCATCCCAGGATAATTCATAATAGTCTCCCTGTCACTCTCAATCCATTCCTAATTTGAACAAGAAATGGTATGCTCACCCTGCCGAGACAGAGTGGACTGTGCTGAGGCAGAGATCAGTGCAGTGTGGATCAGTTTTGCCAACTTGTTGTTGACCAGAGAGAGGTCCTATAGCCAAAGATAAGGTCCTGCTGGCCAGGAGCCCACTCTTAGAGGCATGGAAAGGATCCAAGAGCTCAGAAAGTCCAACATACACACATTAGAATCATCTGGGCGACTTTTTTTTTTTTTCTTTCCTTTTTTGTCTTTTTTCGTGACTGGTAACGGGATCGCAACCCTCGGTGTCACGCCCACACCACGCTCAACCAGTGAGTGGACCGGTCTCTATATAGGATCTGAACCCTCGGCGGGAGTGCCGCTGCGCTCCCAAGCACCGCACTCTACCGAGTGCGCCACCGGGCCAGCCCTGGGCAACTTTTTTTTGTTTCTAAAGACTCATGCCTGGGCCCTTCCCCTAGGAATTCTGATACATGTGCCTGATTAAGAAAGCCCGACCTTGGGCCGGCCCAGTGGCGCACTGGATAGTGCGCCGCTTAGGAGGCGCGGCAGCGCTGCCGCCCGAGGGTTCGGATCCCACATACAGACCGGCTCCCGCTCACTGGCTGAGCGAGGCGTGGGAGCAACACCGAGGTTTGCAATCCCGTTGCCGGTCCCTGGTCCGGTACGGGGGCAACACTGAGGGTTGCAATCCGTTGCCGGACCCGGAAAAAAAAAAAAAAAAAAAAAAAAAAAAAAAAAAAAAAAAAAAGAAAGCCCGACCTTGGACATCTACCTATTTTTTATGGGATGATAGAGAAGTAAAAGATTACTCTACAGTGAGCTGCTTGGCTGGAGTTACAAAGCCAGTGCAGTCTCCCTAGTTTTCCAAGTTCTAGTGCCAGCTGGGACCCCAAGGCTTGGGCTCAGGCCCAAGCTGTGTTGACTTAATGATTCCCTCTTTTGATGGCTATACTCATCAACGCCCCCAATTTCCCGCTTCCAATACATTGCCATCCATTTGTGAATCAGACCTGCCATGGGACCAGGCCCAGCTTCCATGTGTGTTTGTTTTGGAGTTCACACATAAGAGCTGTGCATGCGGGGGAGGGGAGAGGTGTGTGCCTAAAACTGGAGAGCACCAGCCTGGGCTTTGAATCTAAGTGTAATAAAACAGTCACCCAAGAGACCATTTTCTCCTTGCCTCCATCCTAAAAAATGGTAATTTCAAAGAAAAGGCTTGCCAGGAACATGAAACTTTCCTACTTCAAGATTATTCCTTCATTTAGAGTTGAGAATTCTATTGCAAAACTGTCATCCATTTTATGAGACTTTTTTGGAACCCATTTCAAAATAAAACAGCCAAGTCAAAAGTGGTCCAATCCCTAAAGGTGCTCCCTCCAACATTTAGATGTCTGTGGCTATGGGCCTCTAATTACCCAAGACTTTAAAGCTGCTTGTTCATTTAGGTGCAATCAACTATCAGAGGCTGATAATGTTTTTCCAGGTGGGTATAAACGTGGTCTTTCTGTGGAAGTACAGTAAGAAGCCCGAGGAAGAACACTGTAAAGCTGGCTAGGTGCTGCTATGGTTTCTTGTGCAAATGGATACTGTAACTGTTACCTCTACCTTGCCTATTAAATGGCAGGTGGCTATGGCAAAACAATAGATTAATGTTTCTCTTGGCTCAGGAAAATCTATGCCAATGCAACCATCTGTTACATATGCTGCTGGTTTTATATCCCCTTCTTCTTATCCTGGGTGTATCTGAAAGGAAGGGGCTAATGTGCACACATTCAAAGAAATTGAAAAAACAGTAAAATTTCTGTTATTTGATATGTTCAAGACAGAGTATGTTCTGGTTAATACAAAGTTACTATGTAATCCTACCTTAATATTTAAGAAGCACTTCAAGATTTCACAGTGTCTTAGGGTCATATTAGTGATAAATTATACTATGTGCATGTTAGATAAAAAAGCATTCTGAATATAAAGGCATTAGATAAGAGTTTCCCTTGGGTGTTCAGTGATATTTTCCAGCAAAGATGGATTAGGGAGGGATGTTCCATCTAATGAGTCGCCCAAGAGCACCACACTTCTACTGCAGCTGCTAATGACTGAGAATGCCACTGGAGACCTTAGCGCTGCAAAGCGCACACCAAAGGCAGGAGAGCTGCCACCTTGGGGATGAGCCATGCGCGCCTATCACACAGAGCTCTGGAATGCAGCTTAACAGCCAGTTTCCCCAGATGAAATGACAAGGTCACTTCAAGATTTCACAGTGTCTTAGGGTCATATTAGTGATAAATTATACTATGTTCATGTTAGATAAAAAAGCATTCTGAATATAAAGGCATTAGATAAGAGTTTCCCTTGGGTGTTCACTGATATTTTCCAGCAAAGATGGATTAGGGACGGATGTTCCATCTAATGAGTCGCCCAAGAGCACCACACTTCTACTGCAGCTGCTAATGACTGAGAATGCCACTGGAGACCTTAGCGCTGCAAAGCGCACACCAAAGGCAGGAGAGCTGCCACTTTGGGGATGAGCCATGCGCGCCTATCACACAGAGCTCTGGAATGCAGCTTAACAGCCAGTTTCCCCAGATGAAATGACAAGGTCACAATTCTCAAATGCAAACCTTCCAACCTTTCTATAAAAAGCTTACATTCATATATCATTTTTTCATTTAAAAAATTCTATGTTGCCAACTAGGAAGAAAAATTAAAGTTTGCTGCATGAATATGAATACTTTGCTGGATAAGTCATGTTGCTGATATTACCCAGAGAATGAGATCCGGCCCCAGAAGATCTGTGGCTGCTACTTTTCAAGATTTGAGGTAAATAAGCATTTCACCTCAATTTAAAAGTGGCCTCATTGGTTCTTAGTACTACAAACACACATGTGCACGCGCGCGCACACACACACACACACAAACAAAACCCAAACAAACAGGATGAGTTTTACCTAGACTACTAAGGTAACATTCTACCCAAAAGCTAATTTACATGTGTACATTCTCTGTCTTTAAGTCCATTTCGGGGAAAGGTGGTGGCAAACTGCGTAATCCTTTATTTTCAGGGACTGACTAGAGAATCAGAGCCCTGTAGGAAAAAGCAATCTATCACAGATTTTCTGCAAGCTTTTCTTATTTAATGAGCACTTACTGTTCTTTGAGATAAGGGCTCCCTTAATTCTGCATTGATAAAGCTAAGACTACCCACCAAAAAAAAAAAAAAATGCTGTTTCTGGCTGCATATACCAGCAAATATATCAGGAGGGTCTTCAAAAAGTTCACAAAAAAATGCATTTTTAATTCTATTTTACTGTGAACTTTTTGAAGTACCCTTGTACTAAAAACCAATGAATTATACACTTTAAATGAGTGAACTGTGCGGTGTATGAGTATTAAAAAAATGTTCTGACTCTATCAGCAAAAGTAAAAAAAATCACAAAAAAGAAAAAATAAAAGTTCCTATTTTGCTGCATAAGCCATGGTGTTGATGTCACTGGGAAGAATCACATCTGCCCTGGGGTGCTTTTCAACATTTGTGCAGATACAGTTTTTTGATAATCAGTTTTTTGATAATTGGCTTTTTGACAATCAGGATCAGGAGCGAGAGGCAGGGGCCAGTGGGACTTTGAGAACTCACTTGGAACAGGGGCTGATCACAGTTGGCGTAGGTGGGTAAACCAAGGCAACATTCACTCGCTCGCTGCCGTTCTTGGGGCAAATGATCTCTGCCACTCCTTCTGGTCTGGGCTGACTCAGCAACTCCCCTGCAGGAGAAGAGATGAAAATGCATTAAGATTTGCCCTAAAAATGAGACCACTTTACCCAGAAGTGCAGGGGTTGGCAGGGGGTGAGGGAGGTAATATGGCAGCACAGGGTCTAGATGATGGAGTCAGAGAACAAAAGTGCAACCAAGAATAGCAGGATTGGCTTGGCTCCTGCTCCCACTGCCTGAATTCTCATCCGCATCACCACAGAAAATGTTCTAGTGGTTATGGCAGGAAGGGCTGGGCGCCAGCCAAAGGCAGCACCTTCCTCTCCACAGACTGACTCCGGAGACTTGTATCTAGATATCACAAACTGAGCCAGGGTCCCTACAGCCCCACGAAGCAAGGGCTGCCAAAGCAGGTGTTCATAACTAGGATTCAGGGCAGACAGGGCTCGGGCTAACTGCAGTAGCCGTTCAACAAGGCCCTGCACAAATGATCTGGAAATACAGCGGACTAGAGGTGTGGACGAGGCAAACAGTTCAAGAGCAGCCCAGCCTCCTCCTGACAGGAGGACTTTCTGGGTAGGTATGTGTGCAGAGTTGAACCAACACAACACTGTTTTATGACTAATGGGGTCTAGTGAAAACAGATAATTAACTTGATGGATTACCACAATACCTAAAGGAAATCTGTTCCTCTGCATGCCCCAGATATAATCTCTCTCCACTAGCTCATTAAATCCTAAGAGCAACGATGACTTCTATTCCTAGTTTCCTCCCCCTTGTCCCCTTACCTGGGACATACTGTCCTTTCCTTTGTTCTTGTGGCCTCTCTCCGAGGGTACTCAATAAATGGCTTCTGGCTAATGATGGTACACTTTATTGCCTAAATTGCCCTTCTTAAGCCTAGAAAAAATAAACCAAACCAAGGACACGAAATGTATGCCAATGTATGTCTTTCTTTTCAGGAGAGACACTACTGAAATTCAAACTTCACCTCTATGGTAGCCATTGCTTCTGTTACTGATTTAAAATTCTACAGACCCCAAAGTATTTGCTAGTGTATAAGAATATAAAATTCCTTCGCCCCCAAAACCATATTTCAAAACACCTCACCTTCAGCAGAGCTCATGTTGACAGAGACTGCCCACATGCCAGCACTGGACTAAGAGCTTCAAATGTACAACTCATTTTATCTTTACAGTGTCCCTAATTAGGGTTTACCTCATTTTATAAATAAAGAAGCCAATGCTCAGGGAGGTTATGTGGTATACCCAGAGTCAGGAGTTAACATTCCAGACTCAGGACGTGAACTCAGGAACTAATCTCTGGGGACCTTACCTTCTCCATTAGCCTCTAACCCCTCCCAAAGCAGAGACTGCTTCTTTAAGCCAGAACACATCTTCCATACAGAGCAATCTAAAACACTATTTTTTAAATAATAAACTAAGCAATGACATATTTATACTTCTAATTAAAGACATTAATTTCCTGATTAGAACATTTTTATATGGCTTTGCACAATATGAACTAAATATAATTTGAGTTCCTTAACCAAACTACTATAAACACCAACCTAATGCAAAAACTAATTTAGCAACATTAGTTTGTCTCATGCATACACAGGTGCCAGAACTGTACTCCAACACCAACTATGAAAAGATCTCAAAACATAAAAATGCAAGTTAATAATGTAAACATTAAATGCTATCAAAGAAATAAAATGAACCAAAGTCATAGCATGTTAGAGCTAGACTGAAACCTGGAAGTCATCCAGTCCAAACACCACTTAATAAGTAACAGATCTGCTCCAAGTCCCTTAAGAGCTGTGCATCTGTCAACCAACCCACCCATTGTGTATCCCAGCACCTGAACTGCAGCGAGAGAGTGCTCTGAGAACCCCAGGTCTGTTACAACCTCTGGTCCTGGGCCGCACTCACCTGACTCCTCACTTGACATTTTCAATTTCTAGTTTCTGCCCTAAGATCATCCCCAAGGCTTGAAAGCAGACTGGGCTTTCCTGGTTTCCCTTGAAAACTCTCTCCTGGTTGGAACTTCACACAGGCCTAAGCTCCATTTGCTTCCAGCTGCCTGGGTACCCAGGATAACTGCAGATGCCAAGCCCCTGCCCTGGAACCCATCTGTGGCACCAGCCTGGCAAAGCTGGCTTCTTTGCTGGGTAGGTTGTAGGTGTTGGTGAGCAGAAAACCAGTTTGCCAAAGAATCTGAAAGAATTTGCAGCAGACAGGGCCGAGCCCATGGCGCTCTCGGGAGAGTGCGGCGCTGGGAGCGCAGCAGCACTCCCGCCGCAGGTTCGGATCCTATATAGGGAAGACTGGTGCGTTTACAGCGCTCACTGGCTGAGCGCGGTGCGGCCAGTCTCAAAAAGGCCAAAAAAAAAAAAAAAAGAATTTGCAGCAGACTATTAAGCCTTGGTTACCAATTTCTATTAAACGAATAGCTTTACTATTCCCCAAGATGCCCAGTGTCATACAGAGCCAAGTGACTAGTTTTGTTTGGGTTCTATTCCTAGCAGCATTGCCAACAATGGAAACAGCACGAAGGTGGAAAGTACTGAGATGTCCCATAAACAATGCAAAATTCACTCAATTCTAATGAATACTGAGCAATGAGCAGGACAGTTCCCAAGCTCCAGTCCATCCATACACTCCAACAACCCACTGCAGGGTGCCTGTATTCTTAAGATGTAAGAAAAGTACACAGTTCCTAGACTAAGAACATAAGAAAAACAGCTTTTTCCTTATTTCCTTATTTTAAGATAAGTTCGATATATATCACAGCGTGATAATAAGATATAGTGCACATACTATTTTTCTATAATAGTATGATTTTATTATGATAATAATATGAACAGTTGTTCATAACATGTGTTCTTCTAGTAAAATAGCAGAAGCTAATCATCCTCACCTTTAACATACACTTGATCTTCAAGATAAAGTGCATTCCTCCACTGGACTAACTACTGAGACCTTACTGTGTGCAGGGACCGCAGGAGACGTGGGGATGCGAGAAGTTAAGGCACAGCCTCTGATGCGGAGAATCTCAGTGTTTACACAGGAAAACAATTGAGTGAAGAACTACAATCCTGCACGGCAGGTGCACCAAGGAAATTTATAAGGGATGCTAGAGGAGTAAAGAGGAGAGATTAATACTGATTTGCAGGATTGGGGAAAACCTCAAAGAATGGAGAAGAGGAAACTGAGGCTCGGGGGGATAAGTAATTTGCCAGTGGTCGTATAACTGGCAGTGCCCGAATTTGAACCCAGGACTATCTGACTCAACTCTTAAATACCATATCATATTATTCTGTGACAAGGATATTGTGGTGATTAGATAACATGAAAACTACTAAACAGTTTATCTGGTATCTGGTAAGTTCTTGACACTATTATTAGAGTGATGAGAAGATTTTGTAAAAGCTTACTCTTCCAAATTGTATATAAAGAATTCACACAAGCAAATGATCAGTACCCAGATTCTTTGTAGTAAAGCAATATACCAGGAATCAGACCATAAATTATCACAAGCAAAACATCACCTCACCAGAAATTAGAAAAATTCAAATTAAAAAATTAGGTTTTATTACACATCTGTCATCACTAGCAAAAACAAATTAAAAAGATAAATCCTAAAGTTGGTAGGAGCTGTAAAAAAAAAAGTTATAATTACAGAGAGCATGTTGGCAACAGATTAAGGAAAAATACACATTCAAGCTGGTATATTTCCATTTTCAGGAACTTGCTTAAAGGAATTAAGACTTTCCTTCTGAAATAAATTATACAATGATTGCTCATAGCAGCACTATTTAAAATACAGTGAAAACCTGATAGCTGTGTTCAAATGGCCAAGAATGGGGAAATGGCTGAAAAGGACAACACATTAACAGGATGGAATATTCTGTAGTCATTAAATATTATGAGACTGATATTTCTATGTGGAAATGTAAATTTGTAAGTACACTCTAATTAGAAACAGAAACTGGCAAAGCACATACATGAATTTACAGTGAAATGGGTCATTCAAAATTTAGTGGTCCTGAGGTTACTTACTTATTTATATTTATGTTTGGGTCAATAATAAAAAAGACTATGCTTTGTATTGGAGGGAGATGCCAGCTTTCAATGCTGATGCTTTTTCCTCTGTTAGAGATTTTCTACTCGTGTGCAGTTTATAATGCACTCAGTCTATGTGAAGATGGAGGAATCTGGCCTCTTGCACAGAGCACTGCGTTTACTGCAGATATATCAGACCACTGTACAATCTCCTTGTGCCCCTTGAAGTTTTGAAAAACTGTGCTTAATTAATCTGGCTCAAGATTTCTGATGTTAGAGTGCTAGCAAACTCTTCTCAACTGTTTTTCCCTGTGTGGAAAACAGAATACCAAGTTTTATTATGATCTTTTCTGTTAATCATCAGGATTCTCAAAATATTTTTTTCAGTGTAAATATAAACATACCTCAAAACAGCAAAGGTAGTCTAGAAATTAAAACTATTTCAAGATAAACAATTTATATATATGAATATTGGAGGAACACAACCACTGAGACTGTAGCAAGGAGAGAATGAATTAACGAATGTATGGACCAGTCAAGTTCTAGTCAGGAGATGGTAACCGCAGAGTTAGATTTAATCTAAATAATTAACTAGTTTCAGGGAATTAATTACCAAGAGGGAACAGAAGAGAACTGTAAAGAATACCCTAAGGCTGAGAGAGAATATACAAGGAAGGAAAGCTTGGAAATGGGGGGAGCTGAGATTCAGACCTTGTTGGATGGGGTATGGAGCAGCCCCCTGATGGTGGAGAAGTTTGCTGGGTTACCCCAAGCCAGAATAGTCCACAGTCAGCTGGCTGAAGCTAGTAGGCAGGAGACTGTCCTCTGGGTGATGACAACATACTCTGGGAAGCTGTCTTGGGGGGTGGGGGAGCAGGCTAAGGGGAGAGTATGCTGTTGAACTTACTGGGAAGCTCGATGGGGCACTGGCTAGAGTCCCTGGAAAGCTAC